GCTTGGAAAGTGAATCAAAGTTTCTCTTTCAAAATCTTGAGCAAAGAGAGATAATTTGTTTTCAAATGAAATAACTTCTTCTAACATCAAAAAAAAAACTGTGTTTCCTTTCCCCTGTAGTTTACGATTAAGCTGATTTAGATGAGACGTAAGGTCTACCATGAAATAAAATTTTTGGATCCACTGATCGTTCGTTAGTTCTGGATAGTAAACACCCCTCTCAAGGAGAAATGCTTTATTTTCTGTTAATAAGGAAGCGAAACGTTTCAAAACGTTTCCTCTTGATAACCAATGTACCTTGTTATGCAGCAGAAGATCTGCGTACTCACTCTCCATTTCAACTAAAAATGATTTAAATTGGAGATGATTAAGAGCTTTAGCTATAATGGAGTTGATAATCTTAATCACCAATTCCATAACTTTGCAAATTTCTTCTGGAAATGTCTGCACACAAAGCGCTTCTTGATGAATGATGCAATGGTAAGTAAGTATCTCGTGATTAATTTTTTCTTTCAAAATAGCAACAAACCCGTTTCTTACGCCGGTCATACTTTCGACCCGTCTTTTGAAATTGAGACAATTTTATCAAGTGGAATATGATGTTTTTCAATGCACTCAATTACAGCATTTGCTATATCCTCTCCACGTGTTTGACCTTTGAGTGGCAATAATTCTAAAAGTTCTGCTTTAGGACCTGTAGATGAAATAAATCCCACAAAAAGTGAAACTTGCGCTGTATCATTTATGTCACAAGACTCGTCAACTGCTATTGATAAAGCTGAAACCAATTTAAGATCTTCGACTTGCTGGTTGGTTATATTCGAAGACATTTTGACTGTTCTATCTTTCACTGTTTTAGCAGACAATGGTAACTCTTTAAATTTTTTTAGAATATCTGCTTTATTCTTAAAATCCCGAAATAGCTCTTTGGATGCATTTATAAAACAACTTTTTATGTATTTGCCATTTGTATATGGTTTTCCTCTCTTAGCAATCTCTTGACTAACCACAAAACTTGCAATATTAACATTGTTGGAAGATTGCATCCAGTAATTAAATACAGAACTTGATTTTTCTTGACTCTTCTGAAGTTCCTCAACTGCTTTCTTCCTTGCATCACCGACAGGATACTTAGTACTAAATGACATGTGTTTAGTTGTAACGTGTCTCTCCAAATTTGATTTCTTGTTATGCACCAATTTTTCCTGACAAATGAGACAGGCCGGAAGGCCATTTAAGTTTTGATTAAACGCGAAAGTCTCGGTCCATTCAACTTTAAATTCATGGTTTTCGTCTTCCGTTTTTCTTTGCTTCTTCTTTGTAGCCATGTCAAACAGGGCACCTAAAAAAATGTTTCATTTTATAATAATAAAGCCACCAACACAAAATAATTACAATTCTTAAATTGATGACAAAAATACCTGTAGGATTTGCAGCTGGTTGGAAAAATACAGGTAACTTTATGCTTCAAGTAGGTACTTTTGTTACCCGCGCATGATTTGCGAATGCGACTAGCACTAACCACTGCACAATGAGACTGCTGACTGACTGGCTCACTCAACTCGTGCGTGAATCGAGCGTGCCTCCCCTGCGCTGCGTATCCCTCGGCCCGCCTGCGCCGCGTCTCCTGTCGCCCAACCGACCGACGCCCCCCACTTCTTCTAATGCCACTTCTTCAAAATAGACTCGCCCAGGTCGAAAACCAACTTCTGCGCATGGGCCACGAAGTTTCAATCGCACTGTACGTGCTCACCCGCACGTGCACGCCCGTGGAAGAGCCACACTCAAGGGGCCAAAGAGCTGCATGTGGCTCGAGAGCCGCGGTTTGCCGACCACTGGGCTAGGGCAAGACTACAGTTTTAACCAGATACTGAACTAGGTTGCAAGCCCCCCCATTTTCCTTTTCATTCCCCCCTCTTGTTCCACAAGCTATTCTTAGCCTTGGGGATTACAAAAGACTCAGGAACTGGGGATAAGGTCGACGACCACTCTAGCTACTTCCTGCTGAAGGGGGGCTGACAAAAAAGAGGGTTCAGTATCCCAAGTCTTCCCCATCTTCCCCAAGGGGGTCATCCGAGTAGCAAGGGCAGAGAAGTTCTCCTCCTGTTACCAGTCTGGGGTTCCGGCGACACTTGTATGAAGACAGAATAAAACTGTTAGGAAAAAAAACAAAAACAATAATTATCCAGATAGGAGGGGATAAGGAGATTCAGGTTGGGTCAGCCGGATCCACCGTCTTCTTAAAGATGATCCACAGGGGGTGGTTCAGGTCAGAGGTTACCTTCCACTCTGGATGCTGATTGTCCAGCTGGTGGGCTGCTTTTACCTGGAAGTGGTAGATCCAGGTGTTCAGTCCTGCAACTTTGAGAGCCGAGGGGGTGGTTAGTACGACTGGATCAGGTCCCTTCCAGGTTGGCTTAAGGCAGTGATGGCGAACCTTTTGAGCTCGGCGTGTTAGCATTTTGAAAAACCCTAACTTAACTCTGGTGCTGTGTCACGTATAGAAATTTTTTGATATTTGCAACCATAGTAAAACAAAGTCTTATATATTTTTAATATTTATTTCATATACTTAAATGCCATTTAACAAAGAAAAATCAACCAAAAAAATGAGTTCGAGTGTCACCTCTGACACGTGTGTCATAGTTTCGCCATCACTGGCTGAAGGGGTTCCTTTTTCCAGTCTTTTACCCAAACCTGGTCCCCAGGCTTGTGAGGGTGCACAGCTGTTCCTAGAGAGATGGGAAATCAATCAGTAACCCATCTGTGGACTTCAAGGATAGTTTTCCCAAGTCTTTGTAGCTATTTCTGAATTTCTAAGTTCCCTATTTCCCCCAAATCTCCCTTTGGCTGAATTAAGGGAGGGGGTCTGCCATATAAAATTTCAAATGGAGAGAACCCTACTCTGGCTCTCGGGGCACAGCGCACCCACAGGAGCACAAGTGGTAAAATATCTGTCCAGGGTAAGTTCGTCTCCTGGCATAGCTTAGCCACAGACTGATTAAGAGTCCAGTTCATGTGTTCTACTTTCCCTGAACTCTGGGGCCTGTAGGCTGTATGTAAGTTCCACTTAATTCCTAAGGCTTTAGCTACCTGCTGTACTACCTCAGCTATAAAGACTGGGCCATTATCTGACCCTGTGGTTAATGGCATTCCATACCGCAGAATTATGTCCTTCAGTAATGCCTTAGTGACTTCTCTCGCCTTCTCTGTGCCGGTAGGATATGCCTCAACCCAGCCTGAAAAGGTGCAGACAAAAACTAAAAGATATTTATTTCCTCTACTAGGCCCTATTTCTGTAAAGTCTACCTCTAAATCTTCAAAGGGAGCCTGCCCACAGTGCTGAATTCCTATCGATCCTACAGGACCCTGCATTGCATTGTTCTGTGCACAGAGGAGGCAGCACTGAGACTGAGGCGCATAAGGAAGGGAGACGGGCAATTAGATAGTATCTGCTTAACAAGGCTTCAAGAGCCGTCTTCCCTAAATGGGTAAGTTCATGCTGCTAGAGGACTACTCTATGAGCTAACTGTTCTGGAACGTAGACCTTATGATCTGGGAATATCCACCAACCTTCCTTCATCCTTTTACCCTCTTCTCGTTGGGCCCATTCTTCTTCTTGAGGGGTGTATTTTGGAGGTTCAGGTAATTTAGGAACCAGCATGATCTGCGATGGTGCTGCCCGGTCCTTATCAGCTAGCCTTGCCGCTGTGTCTGCATGACAGTTCCCTTCTGACACTGAGTCTTTTCCTTTTTGGTGTCCTCTACAATGGATGACTGCTACTTCCTTGGGCTCCCAGACTGCTTCTAGTAACTTCAAGATCTCATTCTGATTTTGATCCCTTTTCCTCTGGCCATCAGGAGCCCCCTTTCCTTGTATATGCAGGGTAGCAAAGGCATAGCAGGAGTCAGTGTAGATATTGGCACACTTTTCCTTACTGAAATTTAAGGCTCTGACTAGGGCCCAAAGTTCTGCCCTCTGCACTGACCATCCTCCAGGCAGGGCCTGTGCCTCTATTATCTCAAAGTTTGATACCACTGCATACCTGGCTCGTCTTTTTCCTTCATCTAGGAAGCTACTGCTGTCCGAGAACAATACTAAGTCCAGATTCTGTAGAGACCTTTCTGTTAGATCTGGCCGGCTGGAGTAAACCTCCTCTAAGACTTCTAGACAATCATGCTCAGGGGTTCCCTCTGAGATGGTAGGAAAGCGGCAGGATTAAGAGTTCTTACTGTCTCTAATCTTATTCATGGATTTTCACATAGGAGCCCTTGGTATTGAGTCGTCCGAGCATGAGTCAGCCAATGTTGCCCCTTAGCTTCCATTAGGGTGATAACAGCATGAGGCACTTTAACATTTAAGTTCTGTCCTAGAGTGAACTTGTCTGCCTCTTTGACTAATAAGGTTGTGGCTGCAAGGCCCCTGAAGCATGGGGGCCACTCAGAGGCAACCAGGTCAGTCTGTTTGGAGAGATAAGCTACTGGCCTCTGCCAGGGTCCCAACTCCTGAGTCAGAACTCCCAGGGCTACCCTGTTGTTCTGGTGAATGAAAATATTAAAGTCCCGCGTCACATCTGGGGGCCCTAGGACTGGCGCCTCGGTGAGCTTTGTCTTTATGGTCGTGAAGGCTTTTTCCTGTTCAGGACTCCAGTTAATGGGTGCCTTTTCCTCTCCTTTTAAGGCTTCATAGAGGGGCTTAGCTAGATTTGGAAATCTGGGATCCAAATTCAACAGAGCCCTACTGCCCCTAGGAATTCCCGAATCTGTTGGCAGGTGCTGGGGACTGGTATGGCACATACTGCCTGTTTTCTTTCAGTCCCTAGCCTTCGTTTCCTTTGGGTAATTCGGAAACCTAGGTAATTGACCTCCCTGTGACAGATTTGAGCCTTCCTTTTGGACACCCGGTAACCTGTTTCAGTTAAGAGTCTTAGAAGGGAGTCCTCACAGCACCGCACATTGTGACTAAGCGCTCACCCTGTGTGTCTGCAGCTCCCTTCTTTCTCGGGCGACATCCGGCGGCTAGACATTCACCATGTCTATTCTGAAGGTGCACACCAGAGAGCTCTTCGACTCTTGTGGGAATCCCACTGTTGAGGTGGATCTCTACACCACAAAAGGTCTCTTCAGAGCTGCTGTGCCCAGTGGTGCCTCAACTGGTATCTACGAGGCTCTAGAGCTGTGGTTCTCAACCTTCCTAATGCCGCGACCCTTTAATACAGTTCCTCATGTTGTGGTGACCCCCAACCATAAAATTATTTTCGTTGCTACTTCATAACTGTAATTGTGCTACTGTTATGAATCGTAATGTAAATATCTGATATGCAGGATGTATTTTCATTGTTACAAATTGAACATAATTAAAGCATAGTGATTAATCACAAAAACAATATGTAATTATATATGTGTTTTCCGATGGTCTTAGGCGACCCCTGTGAAAGGGTCGTTCGACCCCCAAAGGGGGCATGACCCACAGGTTGAGAACCGCTGCTCTAGAGCTTCGGGACAATGACAAGACGCACTATCTGGGGAAGGGTGTCTCCAAGGCTGTTGAGCACATCAATAAAACTATTGCACCTGCACTGGTTAGCAAGAAGCTGAGCGTAGTGGAGCAGAAGATCAACAAGCTGATTATTGAGATGGACGGGACGGAAAATAAGTCTAAATTCGGTGCCAACGCCATTCTAGGAGTGTCCCTGGCAGTCCGCAAGGCTGGGGCTGTTGAGAAAGGGGTGCCCCTGTACTGCCGCATTGCTGACCTGGCTGGCAACACCGAGGTCGTCCTGCCAGTTCTGGCTTTGAATGTCATCAACGGTGGTTCTCACACTGGCAACAAGCTGGCCATGCAGGAGTTCATGATCCTCCCCGTAGGCACCGCCAACTTCAGGGAAGCTATGCGCATGGAAAGCCGGCTACACCGATAAGGTGGTCATCAGCATGGATGTGGCTGCCTCCAAGTTCTTCAAGTCTGGGAAGTATGACCTGGACTTCAAGTCACCCGATGACCCCAACAGGTACATCACCCACGATGATCTGGCCAACCTGTACAAGTCCTTCATCAAGAACTACCCAGTAGTGTCTATTGACTGGGAAGCGTGGTGCAAGTTCACTGCTAGCACGGAGATCCAGGTGGTGGGGGACGACCTCACAGTGCCCAACCCGAAGTGGATTGCCGAGGCCATGAGCGAGAAGTCGTGCAACTGCCTCCTGCTCAAAGTGAACCAGATCGGCTCCGTGACCGAATCTATTCAGGCATGCAAGCTGGCCCAGTCCAATGGGTGGGGTGTCATGGTGTCCCATCACTCCGGGGAGACTGAAGACACCTTCATCGCAGACTTGGTGGTGGGGCTCTGCACTGGGCAGATCAAGACTGGTGCTCCTTGCAGATTTGAGCGCTTGGCCAAGTACAACCAGATCCTCAGAATCGAGGAGGAGCTGGGCAGCAAGGCCAAGTTTGCTGGCAGGAACTTCAGAAACCCCCTGGACAACTAAACTCTGGGCAAGCGGCCCAAGCCCCATGGTCACTGGTCGGCTAATTAGACCTCTGCTCCTGACATCTGCACGGGCAGCCCAAGGCCCCCAGCTGATACCTGCAGGGGCCTCTGCCTCTCCCCTCCCTGTGGTGTTCTCACTGCTTCTTAGAACTGCTACAAAGCCAAGCCTGACATGGGAACGCTGGTGGAAACCCTAACTCTAGTCATGTGACTGGTCCAAATCATTGTTCTTCTCACCTCGCTTCTCAAGTGTCTGTAGCCAAGTGCACCTACATTGTAATTTCCGAGGTGTCCACAAGCAAGATCCCCAGTGGTTTTGTGTGCAAAATAAAGTCTTCAGTGTCCTTAGGGGGGGAAAAAAGAGTCTTAGTAGGGTTCGTGTTCCTTCCCAACACTGAATTCGAGTGGAGCTAGCCAGTAGGAGGTTGTCTACGTATTGGAGTAGAACGCACCCCACGTCCTATCCTGGAAATTTGGACAAATCTGCTGCTAGTGCTCCACTAAAAAGAGTCGGAGAGTTCTTGAGCGCTTGTGGCAGTCTGGTCCAGGTGAACTGTTCCTTAGCCTCTGTGGTTGGGTTTTCCCACTCGAAGGCAAACAGGGACTGACTGGAGAGTGCCAGCTGAAGGCAGAAAAAGGCATCTTTTAGATCTAGACATGTAAACCATTCCACTTCTGACGGAATGCTGCTCCCATTTTGACTAAAAGGTCTCTGCCCATTAGAGGGACCTGGAAATCTGGCAAGTACAGAAATTCATAAACCACCTGGTGGCCGCCTAACTGACATCAGTAGGGGGTGGCAGAATGATCTGCGGGTGCGGTCCCCTGTAGCTCCGATAACAGTGACTTCCCATCCTGAGAGGGGAGCTACTTTCTGAGTAACTACTGAGTGCTCTGCCCCTGTATCAACCATAAAGTTCACAGTCTGGCCCCCCGATTTTCATTTCGACCATGGGCTCATGGGGGCCCAGTTTGAAAAAGCCCGGTCTGTCCTAGTCGGAGTCTGCTGCCGCCAGTCCAATGAGGTCTGAAAAGGCTGCGGAACTTTCATTAGGCCTCTGGAAAACCTCAGAAGTCTTGCCATATTTGAGAGCCCCTGGAGGAAGACCAGCGGATATCTCTCTAATCTGGCCTTCCCATCCTCTGAATTTGGGTCCCATCTGGGTTTCACATCTGGGAGAGCCTCCCTGGCTTATCTGTCTGTGTCTAATGTCCCTGGTGGGGCCTGGGTCTGGAGCCATTTCTGAGTTTCTGTTATTCTCATGTGCTCCTCAGTGTTAAAAAGAGTGAGAAAGAGTTGCTTGCAGTCTACCCAGGTGGGCTTATGGGTCTGAAAAATTGACTCCAGAGGTAAATCATGGCTTGAGGTTTTTTTGAATAAGCAGGTGTGTGATGCTTCCAATTTAAGAGATCGGTCATAGTGAAAGGCTGGTAGTAAAAGACTGATCCCCCGTCTTGTGGGGTCCCATTTTCTCCAATTATATGAGGACCCTGCATTTCTCAGAGAGTCATCTGGAAAGCTGGGAGTGGTTTGGGTCCCTGATCAGCTGAGCGCTAACATCCTCCAACTGGCTCTGGAGAGTCTGACTTGGGGGAGACGGAAGGAGATTGTGCATATAAGCTTCCCTGGCTAGGCAAAGGAGCACTGGGTACCGCTTGAGGCACATATGGAGGTGGTAGAACTGGCAGGGCTTCCTCAGAGGGGTTCCTGCAGAATAGGAGGCTTATTCTCCTTCTGAGGGGCCTGCCCTTTTTCCTTATATACACAAAACCGGATCCAAAGTGACTTCACTTTGCTATTTCTAGCCACTGGTCAATATAAGGGAACTGATCAGGATGACCTGGGTCTCCTGTGAACATTCCTGATCGTGGGGACATCCAATGTGCCCTCCGGTGGCCATCCTACTCCAAAAGATGGCCAGTCTATTACACACGTCCTTTGTAACTCCCAGGGGACTAGTTTTACCCTCTAGTCCCCAATAAAACCCTTTTTAAAATTCCTTACCATACATTCTAAGTAGAGTTTGTGGAGCAGCTATTACCCATGTTGCAGGGAGGGACCGGGTTGCCTCCCTTTTTAAAAAAAAAACCTGAATAAAAGGACTAATCAAAATAAATCTTGTTTTCTAACTTAATTTGTCCTTGGGTGTGGACAGCAAATGACACTAATCAGATTTCTGCTATCAGTCTCCATGAGTACATTGACGGAAGCTATTTAACCTCTGTTTAGGGAGGCAAAATGCAAATCATTTACTCCAAGTGTCCTTGGTTTAGGGAAGACAGGATTTACAAGATGGCTCCAATGTCCTTGATTTAGGAAAGACAGGATTTAAAGATTTAGGGAAGACAGGATTTACAAGATGCCTTGATTTAGGGAAGACAGGTTTTCTATTCAGTTTCCCTATTCTACTTGTCCCAGCTTACTGATCAGCTATCATTCATTCAACTTTCTTTCAACATTTCTTTTTCTTCTTTTCTTTTTAATTAAATCTTTATTATTCAGATTATTACAGTTGTTCCTCTTTTTTCCCTCCATAGCTCCCCTCCACCCGGTTCCCACCCCACCCTCTGCCCTTAACCCTCCCCCCCCCCCACTGTCCTCATCCATAGGTGTACGATTTTTGTCCAGTCTCTTCCCGCACCCCCCACACTCCTTTCCCCCCCAAGAATAGTCAGTCCATTCCCTTTCTATGCCCCTGACTCCATTATATTCACCAGTTTATTCTGTTCATCAGATTTTTTATTCACTTGATTTTTAGATTCACTTGTTGATAGACACGTATTTGTTGTTCATAATTTTTATCTTTACCTTTTTCTTCTTCTTCCTCGTCTTAAAGAATACCTTTCAGCATTTCATATAATACTGGTTTGGTGGTGATGAACTCCTTTAGCTTTTTCTTATCTGTGAAGCTCTTTATCTGACCTTCAATTCTGAATGATAGCTTTGCTGGGTAAAGTAATCTTTGTTGTAGGTTCTTGGTATTCATCACTTTGAATATTTCTTGCCACTCCCTTCTGGTCTGCATAGTTTCTGTTGAGAATTCAGCTGACAATTGTATGAGTACTCCCTTGTAGGTAACTAACTGTTTTCTCTTGCTGCTTTTAAGATTCTCTTTGTCTTTTGCTCTTGGCATTTTAATTATGATGTGTCTTGATGTGGTCCTCTTTGGATTCCTTTTGTTTGGGGTTCTCTGCGCTTCCTGGACTTGTAAGTCTATTTCTTTCAGCAGGTAGGGGAAGTTTTCTGTCATTATTTCTTCAAATAGGTTTTCAATATCTTGCTCTCTCTCTTCTTCTGGCACCCCCATAATTCTGATGTTGGTAGGCTTGAAGTTGTCCCAGAGGCTCCTTACACTATCTTCATATTTTTTTTATTCTTTTTGCTTTTTGCTTTTCTGGTTGGGTGTTTTTTGCTTCTTTGTATTTCAAATCTTTGACTTGATTCTTGTGATCCTCTAGTCTGCTGTTGGAACTCTGTATATTATTCTTTATTTCAGTCAGTGTATGCTTAATTTCTAGCTGGTCCTTTTTCATATCCTCAAGGGTCTCACTAGATTTATCAAGGGTTTCACTAAATTTATCGATGGTTTCTAGAAAATTCTTGAAAAACCTTAAAAGTGTGGTTTTGAACTCTATATCCAGTAGTTTGCTTTCCTCCATTTCTGTCATTTGTGACCTCTTTCTTTGTCTCTGCATTTTTTATGCTTCCCTGTGTTGGTAGAGTGGCTTTCTGTGCTAGGTGTCCTATAGGGCCCAGTGGCTCATCCTCCCCAATTACCTGAGGTGGATACTCTTGGTGCACCCCTTTGTGGGCTTTGTGCACAGTCTTGTTGTAGTTAAGCCTTGATTGTTGTTGGTATCACTGGGAGGAATTGACCTCCAGGCCAAGTGGCTGTGAGAATCAGCTGTGTCTACAGTGGGAGAACTTCTGTGCTGGAGACACCCTTCTGGGGCAAGACTTGCTTCAGTGGGGCTTTGGTGCTCACTGAGTCTGCCCCCTGAGTGTGTCCCTTATGGTTCTGAGGAGTTGTAATCTGGATGGTCCCACTCTGACCACTGGGTACACTGGCTCTTGGATCTCTAAGGAGGTGCTAATTTAGCCTCTGCCTGAGGCTACCCAGCAGGAGCTATGGAGAGATCTGCAGATTCCTCTTCTTTGTTTGGGGTTTGGAGGTGCCTATATGAAGCTCAGCTGTGAAGCAATGCAAGCTGCTGTGGGGCCTTGGGCCTTCTTTTGGAAGTTCTGGGTCTCTCTGACCCAGCTGCAATTTGTTAGGTAATTTTAGATTGCAAAGGACCAGGCCATTCATATGCAAAAGCCTTTGCACACAGCTTGGGTGGGACGGGGTCTCAGGGAATCAACAGGGTGGAGCAAACAGCTATGGCTGATCCTCAGCCCTGCCCTAAGAGGCCCCAGGTCTCAGTGTCTCACGGTAAGCGCTGCAAGCACCTCTGAGAGAAAGTCTCCCTCGAGTTCTGCCCGCTGCCAGACAGTCCAGTTTCTCCCCGTATGCGTCTGGGTTCCCAGAGACTCGCTCAGAACTGGAGTTCAGAGCAGTCAGGAGCTTGTGTCTCCCTCCTGATTGAAAAAGACAACCGTGCCTTCAGTTGCCAGCCCTTTCCGCATGCACCAATTTCAGGTGTTTACCTATGCCGCCATCTTGGTTTCTTCTCTTTCAACATTTCTTGTTACCTTCCTCCATTACACCAAAGCCATACTTCCTTTCCAGTTAGTTAGAACTCTTAGTCTTAATTTTTAGGTGACATGTCATATTTTTTTAAGAGACACAAACAGAAATTTCACTAGCTAAACAATTTAAACAAATAACAAAGAGATATATTTAAACAATAAAGACAGATAACATTCCCCACTAAAAACTTTGAATCACCACAGAAACTCGAGAGAGGTTTAACTTCATTTGTAAACAAACAAACATATAAAACCCCAACAGTAAATAAACACTTTTACACCGGCATGTGCCACATTTACACCACAGA